CAACCAACAAAAGATGACCAAAATAATAAAGAAAGAGAAATAAGCTGTGAGGGTAAACGTACAAGAAATATTAAGATGCAAAGAAAGAGCTTTTATAAAATGCAAAAAGGAAGAGACAGACTAAAGTGAAGCTCGGCCCCTTAGAGAATGAGGCTGGAAATATAATAGTGGAGAACCAGGAAATTGCAGAGGAGTAAATAAATATTTTATATCAGTCATCACAATAGAAGCCACAAATAGCATTCCAGCGATACTAAATAATCAAGGGGCAAAATGGGGGAGAGGAAATAAATGCAGTAATTTCCATTAGAGGTATGAGGTATTAGTAAGATTACATCTGAAAAACTGTGCATAGTCCTGGTTCCCATACTTGCAGAATGATCCATAGAATAGAATCTCTACAGTGTCAAAACAGGCTGTTCGGCCCAATGAGTACACACAAGCCCTCTAAAGAGCATCACACACAGACCCATCCCCCTACCCTATATTTCCTCATGGCTAACACATCTAATCTACATATCCCTTGATGCTACAGGGCAACTTAGCATAGCCAATCCACCTAACATGCACATCTTTGGAGTGTAGAAGGAAACCAGAGTATCCGAAGGAAACCCACGCACAGATATGGGGAGAATTTGAAAACTCCACACTGACAGTCTCCCGAGGTCCCTGGCACTATGAGGCGGCAGTGCTAATCGCTGAGCCATCATACTGCCCCTGACATTAATACATTGGAAGCAGATGAGAGAAGGTTTACTAGACTAATGTCTGGAATCAGTGGATTGCCTTATGCATAAAGGCAATAGTTTAGGCCTATATCCTCTGGAGTTTAGAATAGTCAGAGTGCCTTAATTGAAACATACAAGATCCTGTGGAGACTTGTCCTAGTGGACATGGAAAGAATGTTTCCTATTATGAGAAAATGTAGAACTTTAAAAATGAGGAGTTACCCATTTAGTAGCTAAGTGGGCTAAGAATCTTTGGAATTCCATTCCTCAAAAGGCAATGGATGCAAAATGTTTAACTATTTTTAAGGCAGAGGTGGGTAGATTCTTGATCATCACAGAGAAGAAAGATTATTGGGAGTATGGAGGAACGTAGAGTTGAGGTTATAATGAGATCAGCCATGATTCTATTGAATGGCTGTGCAGGCTGGAAGTGTTGAGTAGTCTACTCTCATTCCTTGGTCATACGGAAATAAAATATTAAGGAAACTAATGGGGTTAAAAGCCAATAAGTCACCTGTACCTGCTGGGGATGCATCTTAGGGTATTAAAGGGAGTAACTACAGAAATAGTGGATACACTGGTAGTAATCTTCCAAGAATCCTTAGGTTCTGGAAAATTCCCAGATGATTGAAACACTACAATGTAACACCCTTATTGAAACAGGGAAAGAGGCAAAAATCAGGTAACTATATACAAGTTAGCTTAACGTCTGTTAAAACCTATTTTTAAAGGATGTATTGGTAGAGCATTTGAAAATACATAATGCAATCAAACAGACTCAGCGTAGCTTAATAAAAGAGAAATCATGCCAGACTTTTTTAATAGAATTCTTTGAGGAAGTAACAAGCAGGATAGATAAAAGAGAATCAGTAGATGTAATATATTTTGATTTCCAACAGGTGTTCCATGAGGTACTGCATATTAGGCTACTTAATAAGATAAGTGCCTATGGTGTTGATGATAGTATATTAGCATGGATAGAGGACTGACTAACTAATAGAAGGCAGAGGTTTGTGAAAACATTTTCACGATGGCAACCTGTAACTGATGGAACATCACAGGAATTGGTAATGAGCAGAAATAAATTGCAATATATGAATGATTTGGAAGAAGGAAGTGAATGTACTGTTGCCAAATTTACAGGTGACAAGAAATGGCCAGAAGGCTATGGTGAGGATGCCACAAAGGGTCTATGGAAGGATACAGCCAGATTGAAGGAATGAAGAAAAACTTGCAATAAATGGAATATAATGAGGTAAAATGTAAAGTTATGTAGGAAGAATAGAGGAGTTTTTTTTTTCATAGAATCCCTACAGTGTGGAAACAGGCCCTTTGGCCCAACAAGTCCACACTGACCCTCAAAACATCCCACCCAGACTCATCCCCCTATAACCCACCTAATCTACACATCCCTCAGTACTATGGGCAATTTAGCATGCCCAATCCACCTCTCCTGTACATCTTTATACTGTAGGGTGAAACCAGAGCACCCAGAGGAAACCCACACAGACACGGACAGGATGTGCAAAGTCCACAGACAGTCGCCCAAGGGTGGAATCGAACCCAGGTTGCTGGTGCTGTGAGGCAGCAGTGCTAACCACTGAGTCACCACACTGCCCTGCATGGTGAATATTATTTAAGTGAAGACAGTCTGCAAAAAGCAACAACAGAGGCCTCATCCATGAAAATCTAATGTCCATCTTCAACAGGAAGGCAATTGGAATGTTCGCCTTTATTTCAAAGGGAATGGAATATAAAAAATAAGTAAGTCTTGCTAAAGCTATATGAGATACTAGTTAGACTGCACCTGGAATACCGTGAATAGTTTTGGTCTCCTTATCTAAAGAAAGATGTTGACACTGTGGAGGCAATTCAGAGAAGGTTCTGAGTATGCAGGGGTTGGGGGAGGGTGGTCTCTCTGAGGAAATTTTTAGTAGGTTTGGCCTGTCCTCATTGGAGTTTAGAAGAATGAGAAGTGACCTGATTGAAACATACAAAATTCTTAGGGAGGTTGACAGGACAGATGCTGAGAGGCCGGTTCCCATCATTAGAGAGTCTAGAAGCAGAGGCCGTAATCTCAGAATAAAGGGGCACATAGTTAGTACAGAGATGAAGAGGAATTTCTTCTCTCAGAGGGTAGCGCATCTGTGTATTTCTTCACCACAGAGGGCTGTTGAGATTGGGTGTTAAGTATATTCAAGATAAACTTCTAGTTAGCAGCAGAATCAAGAGACAGATGGAAAAAGTAAGAAGGTGGAGTTGAGGATTATCAGATCGACCATAATCTCACTGAACGGCAGAACAAACTCAATGGGCCATACAGCTTACTTCTGCTCATATGTCTTATGGTCTTATGCAGAAACATAAATTACTTTCTTTTTAATCCCTGATATCTGATATGAATCCTATTTTTGGCTAAATTAAATATTGTATGGGGGAATAATACAGCAAGTTAATAAAGACTGAAAGGTCTACTTTATAAATTAGTTTGATTAAGGCTGGGAGTTTTTTTTTTCTCAATTTTCAGTATTTCTTGGTTTAAAAAAAATCTTCTCTGCTGCCTCTTCCTTGAAAATCTATGGGTAAAGTTTAAATTATAATCGAATGTGCAAAAAATCGTGAAAATTAAAATGGATTATAATTAGAGTACCATTCTAACTGAGTTCTAGAATACCAATGTTTAGTATCACATCAAAGGTTATGGATTCCTCCCAACAATTAATACCTAGTTTTCATGATGCCAATGATGTTCTTCCATTTTGTTCTGAAACTAAACTCTTGATTATTTATTTTTTAGAAAGAGTAGAGAAAGACGTTGGCAGTGAAATACAAATCAATCAATACTTCAAAACAATTTCCAACAAATTGCAACCTGTTTTCTATGCTTCCAGACTTTCTTGACCATTGATGACAGAGTAGAATGGAAAAATGGATGTCAGCTTTCTGTTATGGTCTAAGGCTGAACTAAGATTTCCCCAATCCCCCCACCACCGCTGCCCCCCACCCACCCCCCCGACTTTAAAACTAAAAGTATCAAGCAAGGATTTACTATCATCACGAAAAAGAATGAGAGTGATTAAACATTACACAATTAAAATAAAACACAAAAAGGATGAAAAAAGTCTTCATTTTCACATAGATGTATGTGCCAACATTTCACCATTTACAGATGTAATTACGTGATTGTACAACACTTTAAGATTGAGTTCTATTAAATGCAATAAATTACATTTAATACAAGTCTATACAAAGCTTTTAAACAGTGCAACTTACCCACACTATTAATCTTATGGGCCAATTATGATTTTTTATGTAAATGTAATGAGTCACATCAACAATAAAAAGAAGTTGTTGGTCATAGTGACTTGCTGCAATGTGCTTGCATAAATGGCATCACTTTGGATTTACATTGGTTGCAAGAGGTGAAAAGTGAACTTTCCAAAGAAAACTTGTCTTTGTGTTGGTGAAGAGAAAAAAAATTCCACAGTTCTCCAACTAGCATTTAAAAAGTACAATAATCAGTTAGACTCTAAATATGCGCAGACACAGATTGCCAGACAAGAGGAGAATACAAAACAATCAGCATTACACTTTATCGATATTGTTTCAGCAGAGTTCTGTCTTAAACTAATATCTTCAATTTTAAAAAATCTTGTGATAATACTGATTATAAACTGATTATTAAATATCATCTCATAGATTAAAGCAATGAATATCATTTTTGCTGAATAGCTGAATGACTTGCGAATCACTTTGGTATTTGAGTTACAATATCATCCGCATGTATGAAAGTTTAATAAAAAAAGGTATATTGCAGCTTAAATGTGAATAATCCTACTTTTATGAAATTTATGATTCAGAGCACTGGAATTGATAAAATTTGCTCCAAAATTGCTTTAGACTTGAACATTTCTAAGTACATAAAGAATTCCTGGGGTGAAGGAAATGTCGTTGTGCCAATCAGCAGTTGGGTTAAAATGATTGAATTCCTTTTAAGTGGTAGACGGGCTTGTAAAAAAGAAGCTTTTTTGTCTTATGGAGGCAGGCAGCTGAAGTGAAAACATTATTTAAATTCTGATTGCACACACAGGCTGAACTAGCTGCATCCTTGCAACCTAAGCACAGCCCCAAGGGAAGATACTCTACTGACAAATTAATACCTTAGAGAAAAGATCAGAATGGTGGCAATGAACTCATTTCTTCCTCCCAATAATAAAGAATGGCTTTTTCCTTTACCAATCGGTGATTGTTGCCATGGCGACTTGGACTTACCTCATTGCTTCACGAAGTGCTCCTCGCTCACTGAGAGTGGTGTGTTTGATGTCATCAAAATTATTCTCCAGCTTCTCATGGCTCTGGAATAAACCAGGTAAAAACATTTTCCTTTAAGTACTTACTTTCATGCTCGCATTTTAAAACAGATCCCCTTTTCTACCAACATATTCTCTCAAGTCTTTCCATTGCATAATCAAAATTGACATTATAAACCTGCCAAAAGTCAATCTTATTCACAATGTGGTTGTCATGGAAATCTTATCACTAACTCACCATGTATGAGAGGGACACATACGAGAAGACAGCCATGGATATCTGATTGCAAATATCTCATTTTATTACAAACCTTAATGTGCGAAACATATAAAACTATTTATGTCATGCTTACTTTTATTTAAATAGTTTGCCTTCCCTAAGGCATTTGTCCACTAACTTGGAAAACCAGCTGCTTTAGAGTCAGTGTTTGTATACTGGGTGTAATGTAAATATCTCCAGGACAAGATGAATCAGAGAAATATAAAAGGTAAACAAAAACACACAGACAATAACAATGTTTATACTCGTCGTGCATACTCTTTTGAGTTTTAGAATAAGAGAGAGACACTTTTAAAAGTGTCAGGACTCCATAGAAGTGTTAATTTACCTATAATTGAAGAAAGATATTTTTTAACTGAAGTGGGAAAATATTCAGCGCAGCAGAATGCAAAAAGCCAAACCATAAACAAGATCTTATGCATAAAGAGTATGTACAAAATGTGAGTAATCTCTTCCAACCTCTTCCCTTGGGCGGAAGATACAAAAGTTTAAACACACGTAGCAACAGATTCAAGAACAGTTTCTTCCCCGCTTTTATTAGACTTTTCAATGCACCTCTCAAATTTTAAATTTAATATTGATCTTGCTCTTTGTGCACTTTCTCTGCAGCCATAACATCGTATTCCTCACTCTGTTCTATTACACTAATGCACGTTGTATGGTATCATCTGCCTGCACTGCACACAAAACAAAACTTTTCACTGTACCGAGGTATATATGACAATAATAAATCAAATTAAATCAAAATAAAATAATTGAATGGGGGTGGGGATTTTGGGGAGAAGGCAAAAGAGAAGTAGAACATTGAACAAAACATTTTAAAGCAAAACATAAGGTTACAGTTGGGTTACATCGAATTCAGAATAATTTGAAGATTATTCAGATTTATTGCATTGTGTCACATCTCTTCCTGCACAACCGCTTGTGCAACACTAGATGTGATGATGCACTTATTTGTATATCGCTGAATCACAACTTCCCATGAATGTGCATAGCAATCACAAAGGCCTGCAGCATCTGGCTTATCACTATATTCATAATAGAAAAATGCTTCCAATCTCATTTTCTTCGTCTTTAGCAGAACATAAACCTGACTTCCATTAACCCAAGAAAGCACTGAAAAAAAGAAGCACATTTGCCATCTCTTCCTTCAATATTCACAGAAGGTCAGGTGCAGCAGACGATTTGTCGTTCTCAATCCTCAGCAATTTGGAATTCAGAAAGATCTCTGATGTAGTTTGGGGAAAATAAAGTGGGACTCAGTAAAAATATTTTACGAATGGATACCATTGTTATCCAGAGGATGAAGGTCTGATCACATATCTATGCCATCAGTTAATACTGTGTATATCCACCCTTGTCACTATCTGTGTCTCAGCTCAGCTATTGATGAAACCCTGAGTCATTAGCTCCAAATGTGGCCATTCTAATACAGTCATGGCTGCCTCCTGTTGCCCACATTGTTCCCACACTGAGTACAATAGGCCCCAAAAAATGCCACTGAAAACACCCCTGCTGACCCAATCTCTGGAAACCCTGAGGAAATTAAGTCCTCTCAGCCAGTAGGAAACCTGCTAGAGTGGCTCCCCGTTCCATGGAGGACACTTAGTTCCAGGATTTGCCTCAGTAGTTGGGCAGGCTTGGTTCTGGTAGCCACAATGGAATTCCATCCCTGAGAACTACCAGCCAGTCTCAGTTCCACAATGCTGGAAATACACTTTGACTTTCATCACGGATCATTATTGAATCACTGTAGTAAGGTAAGTGATGGGAGCTTGGGAAGGCAGTAAGGGGTGGGGTAGGGGTGGGTCAGAGGAATAGGCAAATGGGTGGCTCTGAGCAGAACCACCCATTCCTAACGCAAGACCCTTGACTGGACACTAGATAGGTTGGGAACTTTTCTCACTGGGGTATAGGAAGTTGAGAATGACCTTACAGAGGTTCATAAAATATAAAGAGCATAGACGAGATAAATAGCAAAGGTCTTTCTCTTAGGGTAGGGATGTTGAAAACTAGAGGGCATATTTTTAAGGTGTGAGGAAAAGGATTTAAAAAGAGGCTTGATGGGCAACTTTGTCACACAGAGAGTGGTTTGTATGTGGAATGAACTTTCAGAGGAAATAGCAGATGCAGGTACAGTTACGATATTTAAAAGATGTTTGGACAGGTACATGAATAGAAAAGATTTAGAGGGATATGGGGCAATTGCAGGCAAATGGGGCTAGTTTAGTTTGGGAAGTCTGGTTGGCATGGACCACAGGGTCTGTTTCCATGCTGTATGACTCATTGACGCCATGATTCCAAATACCAACCAGTCCCTCCCCACCCTGCCTCCACCCGACCCAGCCCAACTAGGCTGTTAGGTTTGCTGTTTGGTCTTCCATATGGCAAATTCACCACTCACTGTGAGTTCAACCAACACTCAGTCAGGAATGCCATCTGAACTTCCCTACTCTGACTTAATCAGGGTGAGGTAGGAGGCCTTCCACAACCCTCCCACCTGATCAAACAGTTACCCTGCCTCCAAGCTTGCTGCTCAGGGGTGGTTATCGACATTAGGTTCATCCATCGCCCTGTGCTTACTGACCTACCATGGCTCCCAGTGACTATAAAATTCTCATCGTTATTTCCAAATCCCTTTAAGACCTCCCCCACTTTCTTCTTGCTCTGACCTCTTCCAGACCCACAACCCTTCGAGATGTCAGGTGCTCATTTAATTCTGGCTCCCTAAGCATCCGTAATTTTAATTGCCTCACCAATGGAAGTTGCCAAGGCTCTATGCTCTGAAATTCCATTGTTCCATCTCTCCACCTCTTTTTCAATCTTTCCTCCTTTAAGATGCTCCTGAAAACCTGCAGCCAGCTGCTCTAGTTTCTCCTTATGCTGCTTAATGTAAAACTTTGTTTTAGAATGCTGCTGTATAGTGCCTTAGGATGTTAAAGTCAATACATAAATACGTGCTGTTGTTGCAAATGTGCTACCTGTCACAAACACTGCAGTTGTACTTGCCGATGACACAAATCTAGTGAAGGTGGTACATTGAAAAGCTGAGCAGGATAAGCTGCAGGAGATTTTGAATGTGTTTTGCAAGTAGGCAAACAGGATGCAGAGGAAACTAAATGTGAAGAAACACAAAGTTCTCCACCATGGGCCAAAAATACTTAGAGGACATTTCATCTGTGAGGCGCAGCAGTGAGCCTTAATGAATGGATCATCAAGAATATACATCCAAAAATGAAGCAAAAAGTGGAGATTTAAAGCTGAATTTGTGTAACAATTACAATGTGCCATTGATTATTCTGAAGACAGAATTGAAATGCTTATTTATTTTAAAATATTGAAACAATCACTTTTTATTTTGATCAAGTCTTGCATGAATAAACTCCAGTATTGCTGAGGTCAATAGCTAAAGAGTAGCTTATATCTATAGAATCTATAGCTATAGATTAGTTGGGGAATTTACAAAGGAATGCTCCCTGGTGTTTCTGTATTCGGAGTCATGCCAAGGTTGATAGGTATGATTTTGAGAGGTCAGTCATCATTGCTCCAGGGTTGAAGAATCATCAAATTTTTACAGTGCAATAGAGACCATTAGGCCCATCAAATCTGAGCCAACCCTCCGCACAGCATCCTGCCCAGACCCAGCCACAGATCCTATATCCCATAATGCTGAATTTACCATGGCTAATGAAACTTGCCTGCACATCCCTGGGCACTACGAGCAATTTACCATGGCCAATCCACCTAACCTGCACATCTTTGGACTGTGGCAGGAAATCAGAGCACCCAAGAGAAGCTTATGCAGACATGGAGAAAATGTGCAAACTCCACACAGTCACCTAAGGCTGGAATCAATCTGGGGTCACTAGAACTGTGAGGCAGCAGTGCTGACTGCTGAGCCACCATGCCACCCTAAACAGCAGAAATTCCTCAGAGAAGGATGTTCAGTGCAACAATCATCAAGTGCTTCACCAATTTTTGCCTTTCCTCCATCATAGAGGCAGCACAAGAACTGAGGAATAGAAAAAGGGAATTCCTTAACTAATAAGAGACAACAAGGTGCAGAGCTGGATGAACACAGCAGGCCAAGCAGCATCATAGGAGCAGAAAGGCTGACGTTTCGGGCCTAGAACCTTCATCAGAAATGGGGGAGGGGAAGGGGGTTCTGAAATAAATAGGGAGAGAGGGGGAGGTGAATAGAAGATGGATAGGGGAGAAGATAGGTGGAGAGGAAACAGACAGGTCGAAGAGGCGGGGATGGAGCCAGTAAAGGTGATTCCTTAACTAATACACTGGTTATGAGACATCATGGACAAGGACTTCAGCAATTCTTGGAGCAATTGCAGGTCATGTATATGTAGTTTTGGCAAGATGAAGAGTATCGTTTTCATAGCACATAGTATTGAAATTTATAATATATAAGCAGCCAGGGACATTTATTTCTACACTCAGGGAGTAAGAAGCAGGTTGGAAATTTCACAACCAAGCATGGTCCAAGGTATATGAGCAGGGGAGCAACCTTATTATGGGCACAGGACCTTCACAGCAAAGGACTATGAAACAGATCCAGCATAAGCCAGGCCAATATCACATAGTTAAGGGGGAAAATATTGAGGTAAATATTCATAGCTTATGCTAAACTGCAGATGAGCGCAGGTAGGTATATGAGGGAGAAATGATAGGCTGCTGAATCAGGGAATACTTAAGTAGCAACATCGCGTATATGGGCCAAGTGACTTAAATTTCAGTTCAGGATTTGGCTAGT